AGATGGGTGAGGATAGTATTATGAGATTCAGATGAAGGATTTGTATTCTTGTTGACCAGGAATTGAAGAGAGCAATACTAGATGAAGGTCATTGGAGTTTTTTGAGTCTACACCCTAGTATGACTAAGATGTATCAGGATCTAAAGAAGATTTATTGGTGGTCTGGTATGAGGAGAGATGTTACACAGTATGTGGCTGCTTATTTGACTTGTCAGAAGGCAAATATGGAACACCAGAGGTCGGGAGGAATGCTACAGAAAATGGAGATACCTGAGTGGAAGTAGGATAACATTACCATGAATTTTGTTACCTATTTATCACGGACAGTTCGGGGGCATGATTTGATCTGGGTGATAGTGGATAGATTGATGAAGAGTGCACATTTCCTCCCCGTAAATATGAGGATATCTATGGCTAAGTTGGCACAATTATATATTCGCGAGATTGTCCGATTACATGGGGTGTCATCTAGCATTATCTCAAATAGGGATCCCAGATTTACTTCACGATTTTGGGAGACTTTACAAGAGGCATTAGGTACCCGACTTAGGTTGAGTTCAACCTATCATCCCCAGACAGATGGACAGTGAAAGAGGACTATCCAGTCACTAGAAGACTTGTTCAGGTCTTGTGTGTTAGATAATTTAGGAAGTTGGGATGATATCCTTCCATTAATAGAATTCACGTATAATAAAAACTATCATGTCAGTATCGTGATGGCACCATATGAGGCTCTTTATGGGAGGAGGCTCCAAACACCTTTATGTTGGTATCAGGATGAGGAGAAAGTGTTTATCAGACCTGAGCTACTCCAGCAGACTATAGAGAAAGTGCGGGAGATACAGGAGAAGCTGAGAGCCGCTATGAGTAAACAAAAATCATATGCAGACCAGAGAAGGAGGTCTTTGGAATTTGAGGGGGAAGACCATGTATTTTTGAGAATCAGACCTACTACTGGAGTAGGAAGGGAAATTAAGTCTAAGAAGTTAAGTCCTAAGTTTATTGGCTCATATCAGATTTTGAAGAAGCTAGGTCAAATGACATATCAGTTAGCATTGTCACCTCATTTGGAGAATCTGCACAATGTATTTCATGTATCTCAGTTGAGGAAATATGTGCATGACCCCAGTCATGTCCTGGAGTCAGACGATGTACAGATTAGACATGATCTCTCCGTTGATTTGATACCAATGAGGATAGAGGATTCTCAGCTAAAACAACTTAGAGATAGAACCATCTCAATGGTAAAGGTAGTATGGGATCAGAAATTCAGAGACTTTACTTGAGAGACGGAGGATCATAAGCGAGAGTCTTATCCATATCTATTCCTAAGTAAGTTCATTTTCGAAGACAAAAAGTTTTGTGGAGGGGTGATTGTGACGTGATGTTTTATTATTATATATTATAATAATATTACTGTACAAAAAAAACTTCGTAATGAAGTTTTTCTCATACACAGTAAAATTTTTCTTTTATATATGTATGTACGAAAGGGGGAGGAGGCGAGAAAATTTCAACAAGTAGTTCTCCCTCTCACTTTTCTTCTTCTTTTGTTTAAATTTCAAGCAATGAGACTCTACCTCGTGCGGGATCCGGTGAAATGGAAGAGAACTTGGATTAGGAAATCTTCGGTAGAAATACCACACCAAGTAAGAGGAAGTTTAATTAATTCAATATATGAAACCGAATTGTTGGGTACTATGTGAATAAGGAATACAAGTAGAAATATGAATTATTTTAATGTCTGATTTTGAAGAATTTTTTATTTTGATGACTGTTCTTGGTTTGAAAGTTTTAAAATTCTTGAAATTAAGGATGAATTATATGATAAAATTGTTGTTTTTAACTTAAATTAAATATATTTCATGTTTAATTTCGATTTAGAACTAGTTTGATTGCCTGAAACTTGGAAATTAGAAATCTGGAAAAATTTGGCATGGTTACTGGGCGAAGGAAGAAGAAAGGGATATGGTGGGAATTTTTAAAAAAGATCAAGGGTAAAATAGTCATTTTGCATCCTAGGAACATAAATGGAATTTTAAAAAATGCTTAAGGGTAAAATAGGAATTTTCGGGACATGGAAGGAATTTTTGAAAATGTCCAAGGGTAAAATAGTCATTTTTGGGACATGGAAGGAATTTTCGAAAATATCCAAGGGTAAAATAGTCATTTTCGAGACATGGAAGAAATTTTTTAAAATGTCTAAGGGTAAAATAGTCATTTTCGGGACATGGAAGGAATTTTCAAAAATGTCCAAGGGTAAAAAATAGTCATTTTCGGGATATGGAAGGAATTTTCGAAAATGTCCAAGGGTAAAATAGTCATTTAGGGACATACATGGAATTTAAAGAAAATATTAAGGGTAAAAGAGTAATTTAATAATTTCGAGATGAAAAAGGAATAATAGAAAATATTTACAGGTATAATTGGAATTTTAGAAATAAAATAAAGGTATGTTAAGAAAAATAATTAAAATATAGAATGAAATTAGAAATTTTAAAGATTGAGCATTGTGTTGTGACGTGTGTGGGTCAGACTGAGTCTAAGACAAATGCCCAAAATCAGTCATGAGATGTTATGTATTGGCTAGACTGAGCCGGAGGGTTGGTGCTCAGACTCAGTCAAATATTATTATTTATTGACTCAAATGAGCCGTGAGGACAGGTGGTCCAGAATTCGACAGATGTAAATGATTTTTGTTGTGTTTGAATGGTACTTGTGGTGGTACAGAGTATATTAGTGTAATAACTATGTCAGAGGATTTTGAATGAGGTCTTAGACTTCACTGATTGGTCGGGTCAGATAGACTACCAGATCAGGTGGTGAGAAGTCGATGGGGATGACTGGTGGCGCGCTCGGAGGGGTACTTCAGTATGAGTGATGAAGGGCACCAGTAATCCTACTATGTGTGAAGGGTAGTCAGAATGGTACTGCGGGTGCCGATCACAATGTGCATACAGATAATAGTCTCTGAGTTCGGACATAGTTAGGGTAGACTTACAGAAGGTGTCTTGGTGTTTGATAATTTATAATTGATGATAATATGTAATTATTACTCCTATATCTGTTTTATTATATCGAATAATTTAATACTTATCTCTATTTTTCCATGTGGATGGGACTGCAATGATCACTTTTATGTGGGAGCAAATCAAGAGTTGAGAGGTAGAGATGCAACTACTGGACAACAGGGATAATTCAGTGGGATAACTTTGCGGGACCTACTTTTGCATGTATCTATATAAATAAATTATGTTACTATGTTTTGAGGTTCCGTCAATGAATTGAGATTTCGATCTATATTACAATTACGAGTAATATAATGTAATATAGATATTGTTATTTACTATTTTGTGAATGTATCATTATAATAACGATTTATAGGGTTGTTACATCATTTATATGATTTATTTGCACTCGCATTTATATCCAGTTATGTTTATGAATATAAATTATTTATGAGTAATTTATATTGATGTTTTAAAATTATTTTTATTATATTTATATATATTTGAGGGAAATTTTGATAATCGGTATTTATATTCTCAATAGGATAGAAAGGTTTTATGTTATTAATTTTAAATATATTAATATTTATTATTCCTTAATATAAATATATCAATAAATTAAAGATAATTTAGAAAGAAAGTAACTAATATCATATTAGAAAGAGTAGAGAAAATAAATAAATAAAAATATGATGATCTTATAAGTAAAAACAAAATATAAATAGATAAATAAAGTGGAATACAATTAAATTTTCTATTTTAAATTATAAAATATCATTATAATAAATAATATTTAAAATATTATTTTATAACAATATAGGTTTATAAATATATATATATATATATATATATATATATATATATATTATATTGAAAAAATAACTTTAACTTTGTTTGTTTTGTTCACCGAATTATATATACAATTTTTTCCCTTATTTTTGTTTATATATATATATATATATATATATATATATATATATATATATATATATTCACTGTGTTATTTTAGCTTATTATACATAAATATTTTTTATATATTTATTTAAATTTGTTTTCTTTTAAATTATTATTATATATTATTTATATATTCGTATAAATTTATATTAATTTAAATTATAATACTTATCATATTTTTTCCATCTATTTAATGTTAGAATAAAACATAAACATTTATCATAGAAAAAAATAATAAAATTAATTATTAAATAATAAAAATCATAAGCATTATAATTGTTACTATTTATATACGAAAATAATTCATCAAATTAACACGTTTATATCAAAATTATTAGATATTAAACATATTTATTATGTATCGATGAAGGTTGATAAATAAGTTTATAATTAAATAATTTTTATTTAATGTATTTTATTTTAATATTTATTTAAAAATTAACTATAAACGAAATTATAAAAATTCTACCATCAAAATCAGCACAAGTTGAGAAAAAAAATCTGCCATTATACAGAGACTACAAAAAACTATCATTCATTTATTGTATTGTTGTGTAATAAGTAAAACGTATAAATTGTGATGGTAGTCAGATAATCAGTCATGAAATCTAAATGAGAACAAAACAAAACAAGATTGTAACCCATCAAAATAGTTGTGTCAAACGTTTACATCAGAAGTGGGTCAACTTCTACTCTAACCATTCATGAGCCATGGTAAAGATAAGATTTTATAGGAGTAGATAAATAGAGATTCACTTTCTCTCACCATGATAATCTATCATTCTCTTCGCACACATATCCATCGCAACAAACATTTTTTTCAACAATTACTCATCCAACCAAGTAATCCACGTCGTATATATTCTCACCCAACCAAACCGCTGTAGTTAGTATGCAATAACTGTCTGGGTACTGAGTAACTGCAACGACATATAAGAGAAATTTAACTATGAAACGTAGAAAAAGTAGAAAAGGAAGTAACTTTCTCTTACCTGAGATACATACCTCGGAATAATAAAAAACTAATGCTCTGTAAGATCACTTGAACGGTACAAATATAATTGAAGAATTGTGACCCCCAAAACCAAATGAATTTGATAAAGCGGCCTTGATATCCAGTCTCTCTTTCTTTGAGCCAACAAGTACTTTAGCATCCTTTGTTTTATTTTGTTTTCAGTTGAACAAATTAGATAATTGTATTATAATCAACACTACAACACAATCTAAAAAATGATTGCAACAGTTAACACATACCACTCCTGTATCTGGGTTTTCTAAGTTGATATTAGGATGAACCCATCCTGTCCTAATTGCCTGCATTAACGAAAAATAAAACTTTAAAACATAATTAATGGTAAAAAATTAGCTACATACAAAATAATTTCATATGATTACTAGTTTTAACCTGTACTGTGGCTACCGCTTCCACACCGCCAGCTGCCCCTAATAGATGACCAATCATGGATTTTGTAGAATTTATTTTCAACTGTATTATAACGAGTATTAATAAAGATAATCTTTAAATAAAAATTCATAATTATCTTCAAATTGACTAGATCTCTATACTTGCACAATCTTTACATTTTTATTCTTTCATACTTTTTAATTCATTTTGATAACAAAATTATTGGGACTAAAACGGATTAAAAGTAGGTAAATACAAAATCAGATTAAAGGTTTATTTATAGAGACTAAATCGAGTAGTGTCTAGCTTTTTAACAACTAAAACGTGTTAAACTGAAACGAAATTAACCTCGGGGTTTTGACCAAAACAATGTATTAGAGCTTGATACTCTTTAAGATCTCCAGCTGGTGTGGATGTGGCATGTGCATTTATGTAATTCACATCCTCCTTTGATACTCCAGACTGAGCTAATGCATTTTCAATGCAAAGTATGACACCAGCTCCTGTTTGAGACGGATAAAGAAAACATAAGTGAATTATTAAAAAGTTATTGTAAGCAAAAATTTATATTTAATGTTCATCAAGTATTGTAAGCAAAAACAATAATTATTAAAAAGTTATATTTAATCTTTCGCTATTCTGAAATTGTCATGATACAAGTGAGCAATGACATAGGAAGACAAATTATTGAACGTTTCAATCACACGAAATTTCTAACAATAGAAACGAATAATATAATATATAAGCTAAATTCTAATTTACATACACTTCTTTTCTTTCAAAGCATGCGTTATAAGAATTTAGATACAGTGGTCACTGCAGACTGTGATTAGACACCAAATAACAAATGTTAGTGACTTTCAATCAGCTATGTTTTCACAGACTAATTAATTAAAACCCCTAGCTAGATAAGCAGCAGCAAGGAACGGAAATTGCATCCATGGGCAGCAAAGTATATTCATTTCCACTTCTTCCTTTTTTTAGGACATCACATGGATGAACGAAGATGCAGTTGCATTTCCAGATAGAACAGCATCAGGTTCACATTTGAAGCGTTCATATTTCAGAATTCAAACTGATATGCTACAGAATTATTAGCAACTAAGGCATCGATAAGAGTGAAAGTGCTAAAACATAGCATGAATCCATAAAAGCTAGCCTAAAGATATATACAGCTTTAAGCTTTTATACTATTACTATCATTAAATAACTCCCAACAATTAAGCAGGAATATTTCAACCAGGAGGAAAGCATCAACAAAAAATTAAATTATATAAATTCATTTCAAAAGCACACATTCCAAGCATGTCTACTTTAAAGTTTTGTTCTAAAGTTATACGAAGAGCTGAAAGCATTTAACATTTTACCATCAGGACGTGGCTCAGTCACATGATATGCATCACAGGTAAAACTTCCACCAAGGAATTCAGCATATATGTTTGCACCTCTTTTCTGCAATGTAAAAAATTTGGAAAACAGAAAGTTAGGTTAATGTATTGCCAAAAGTGACAGGTGCATTTAATTTTGTGAGGATAACACATCAAATAAAGATTGGAAGAAAATTAGCTGTAGGAAATGGTAATGATATGTTTGAAGAAAAGTCCTAACTAAGGATAGAATAGATGCATCAAGAGTTCTTATACTGTTGAAAGGAAGTAAATCCTAATACACGGCATAGCTTGTTTTGTTCACAAATTATTATATCCAACCGGTAGTACCTTAGCATGCTCCAGTTCTTCTAAAAGCAAAACTCCGGCCCCTTCTCCCATGACAAATCCATCACGGTTCTGTAATACCATAACCACAAACGTATAGTTGGTAACACAAGTGCAAAACAAGAAGAAGAAAAGAAGCATAAAACCAAAACTGCAAGCACCGCTGTTGTTTTAAAAGTGCAAAGGATATTCAACTCATTCTCTCTATATATCATTATTGGGAAAAATGTTGGCAGGTAGAAAATATGGGGATAACGAATCCTTGCACCAAATAAATATTATAAAACTATTGAGTAGAAAGGCTGTCTGATTTCATTGCTTTTGCATATTTGAAATGGTGATTTCCTTAAAACATATGCTGAATTAGAGAGCACAAATACAGCAATTTATAAAAATCTTACATTGCAAGAGATGATTCATGTTTTCAAATAAACAAGTCATTATAGACATACTAAAATGTTAAACTCTATCAAATGTTTCTAATACGGCTTTAACACAACTTAGCTATTGTTTAGAAGTGTTTAGTGCCTCTTAGCTTCCGAACACCATCTTATCAGTTTTAATTTTATTTTATTTTTTGGGTTGATGAACTCATGAATGCAAATGTTACAACAGTTTTAGTAAAGTTATAGTATTACAATATCCCAAGGGCGTGAAGCTTTGGTAGGATCGGTATTCCTTTGTGATAGTGCCCTGCAGGCCACAAAGCCTCCCAAACCTGCACCAATGATTGCTGGATTAATATTGTATTCATGGCAAGATAATTTCACACAAGCCATGACAAAAGAGTAACAAAAGAATACCAATTGGTATGATAGCAGCATCTGAGCCACCACAAAGCATCACATCCTGCAGACAAATTTTATGTTTACTAAATTTGTTAAAAATCTTTTGACGCAATGAGAGTTTTATTAAACCAGTTTTTTTGTCCAAAAAAATAAAATTAAGGGAAAATATAGGAAATCTAGACAGCAAAATACTTACAGCTTCACCCCTGATGATATGGTTTGCTGCATTCAATATACAAAAGTTACTTGTGGCACACGCTGTAGAGATAGAATAATTAGGGCCCATCCATCCCTGTAATCCATAAAAGAAATCATTTCTTGAAAGCTTCAGACAATGTGGCCATAAAATAGAGGAACTAGCTTATGACAAAAAGTCAATTGTGTCAAAAGATCTTTTAAACAGACCAGATCCATTGCAAGCATGGCAGAACCCATATTTGTTGTTGCAAAAGGTACACAAAAAGGATTCATCTTTTTATATGAGATTCGTAAAGCTTCAATGGCATCATTGAAAACCTGTTTAATACACAAAACAGTCAACGAGTCATGCCATAAGATTGCAAAAACCTGTTTAATGAACAAAACATAACACCAGCAGGGTTCACAATGTCTTAAAGATGTTATGATGCTTCTGCATAAAAATCCTATTACTGAATGTTACAAAAGTCAATTGTTCTCAGGTATTGAATCTCAACATGCAAGAGCGGCAAAGATAGGTTACCTTCATACCACCCATTGCCGAGCCAATCAGAACTCCACACCTTTCTTTATTTAACTCATCCATTAAATCTCCAGTAATTCCAGCATCAACCAAGGCTTTTTTGCCAGCTGTCAGCATATAGAGCATAAATTTATCCATTCTCTTTGAAAGTTTTGGTGCCACCCATCCATCAGTTGAGAAAGACTTGATTTCACCAGCAATCCTCTGGAAAAATATAATATTTGAGAACAAAATCTACAGCAGGCAACAGCAGAAAATACAATTTGAGTTAAATGCAACGTACTGTTGGAAATTCTGCACAATCAAATGTTTCAATCTCGCTTATGCCACTAACACCATCGAGCAAATTATTGTAGAAGATATCTGGATCATGCCCAAGTGGTGTAACCACTCCCAATCCTGTCACAACTACTCGCCTTTGCTTCGTAGGAGGTTTTTTAATGGTTGTCACCTCTTGGGCAGGTTGCAAAGCTACAGCCATTGTTTTACCTTGAAATTCACAATCCCAAAGGCATTGGTCATTACTCCACGATTATAACATGATATATGAATCATGGGAGTCAAATAATGATCAGAATTTGGCTTCATTCTTTCTACATCAGCACAACTTTGGAGTTCAAAATCACCGGTAAAGGCCTACCATTCAAGAAAGTAGTTGTCTACCACTTGAAATTTTGTATCTTCTAATTGTCAAGAAACCTTAATCCTAAAGGTGCACGTGAATCTTAGGCAGGGAATACAACCATCAGCAAAGAATTAATACTCTTTTAAGTTTAAGTAAACTGTGATACAAAAATGTTGTTAATCAGCATCATATAGAAAGAGGCCTAAATTTAAATTTACTGTTTAGAAATTTTAAATAATTATAATAATAATAATAGTAATAATAATAGAGATCACTGAACCAGACCCTCCCCGTATGAATAAGCATTCGAGAGGTTTAAAATACAATAGAACGAGGAGCCAAACCATTTGTCATGTAGTTTCTCCCAAAAATTCATCTATTTTGTACCCATACCATAATAACAAAGACTCATCCATTCTCCCCTTGTGTTTTAACATACCACCGCCACCAATATTGGCATTAATTAAACACGCCACAATGTTTCACACAGAAGCATGGAAAGAGCCCAAAGAAAACAATAGCCAAAGAGGTGCCCATACATGCGGCGGGCGATACTTTCAACTTTTGGCACATGAACACTTCACCGCAACTCGCATTTCAGGAAAAAGAAAAAAGAATAAGAAAAACCCATAACTGCCCTGTGATATTTAATGTAATTCTCGGCATACACACAATGAACAATTTCCATGAAATTGCAATGACAACTAAAATCAAAATTACAAGATTGATTAATTAATCAATATGCAATGAAAGTTGGGGGAATGGTTTTCACGCGTGTCCGTACGATAAATACTAGAAGGCAAATTAGTGAAGTGACGCGCGAGTATCCAGTGCTAACCTAAGCAAATGATTTCCCTCAACCAACGAAGCAAGAGAGCAGGTACCGAACACCCTCAAAAATTAAACCGGAATCCAAGAACCAACAACTCCACTTAGTTAAAAAAATACAAAAGCAAAGATCCAAAGGTAAAACACAAACTCTAACAAACGATAAAAAAAATTAACAACACAATATGAGTTCAAGAGAGCAGAGCCAGATTCAACGATCAAGATTGAGGAACGATTAAGAATGTGAGAAATCGCAAGAAAATCTAAAAACAAGATTTGAATAAAGGGAAATACCAGAATGAGCGGATCCAGAAAGAGTGGAAACGTTGAATTGGGAAGTGAAGGACTTCTTGGAGGAGCGGAACATTGCGTGAGGGGTTCTGTTGCGTTCGGCATCGCAAGTGACTGACATGCAAGCCGCGACGAGCCACGTGCAGAGGGAAGAGTTGGTGGTCGAAGCCATCAACGAAATCCAACGGTGGATGCGTGTGGTCGTGAAAGAACGAAAGAACACACGAAGGAGTGAGGCTAATCAACAACAATAACAAGAAGAGCAGCAAGTGGAAACGACGAAACACTCAGACACATCAAACTCAAGTGACGCGTCGTTTTGTTTTCAGAGGGATTATTGTTACTAATAGTGTTGTTATTATTGAGATTGAGGAGAAGCTTCAGAGTTCACAAATTGCATTTCCGTCTCTCTCTCTCTCTCTCTCTCTCTCTCTATAACACGATGCTCAGTTTCTGCAATCTCAGCTGTTCCTGCTCAAATGCGCTCTCTCCCTCTAATACACCTTCTCCCTATTGTAATCAAAATAATAACAATCACATTTTTAAAGACCTTATATTTTACTTTATTCTTTTAAATTTTACACACAAGTAAAAATAATTAGTACATCCATAATATACGGTCGCTAAACTATAAAAATTGATAAACCCTAATAATCAGTTCTGATCTTGACCAATACTTCTAAGAGTCAATAATAATAATATATAGTGAAGGTGAAAAAATATAGTATTTTATTTTAAATTTTGTTTTTAATATATTTAATTTAGTATTTATGAAAAATAAACTCAAATTTATATATAGTATTTTATTTAGATTAATATAAATTTAATCAATTATTAAATTAGATTAAAATATTTAACAAAATTTAAAATATCAAAATCATAAATATTAGAGCTCGTGACTTTTTTGATCGCATGGGCCTATGTTAATAATAACATTCTTTGAAACAAAGTTAAAAAAAATAATTATTAATTAAAAAGTGAATCTAACACAATTGATGGTTTTCAATCTATTTTAACTAATATTGGAAGAATGTGAAATTATTATATTTATTGAATTTTAAAGAAAAATGCATAATATTTAACTTCGTTGTGATTGGTGGTGGTTAAGCTGTGATTGGATTCGTATTTGGTCTGGAATATGCTGGAGAGGGGAATGAAGTGGCGTTATTTACTTTGTTTTGCCAAAACGAAAACGAAATCTGTTGTTTGATGTAAGAGTATTGTATTCTGATTTTGCGTCGGATCTATAATTTAAAACTATTTTAACTGATCTTTAGTTTTTACAATAATAAAGATGTCTGTCTAATTCAGTTAATTAAATAACGTGTGTTGTTGTAAACTTCATACACCTATTAAATAAATATGATTTGATTTTACAAAGCAAGGATGGAATGGGATATAAAAATATTTGACTTCTATAATAACAGTAAAAAAAAATCATTAGAATTTTATTACTTAAAATTTTTATTTTAATTAATAATATAATTAGTATTATTATGCGGTCCAGTGAGATTGATGACCTAAAACTGAATGGACCAAAGAAGGGTTGGACAAGGGCGCGTCCCTTACCGTCCCTTACGAGGTGATGGGTTTCCGTAGAATAGAATCTTACATAGACTTAGAATAAAAAATCTAAAAAATAAAATTATTTTTATTTTCTCCTAGTACTAGTACTTTTGAGTATTGCTTTCCAGTACTGGCTGTTCCATTCATTAGCGTTGCAGTTCCATCACCGCCCAATAATTCTTTGACTTTACACTCACGTTGAATTTAATCAATTTTCTCTTAATATCTCTCTTTGTTTTATTCCCTGCACTTTAATTTGTTTTCCCTATTTATTTATCACATCATTTTATTTTAATATATATTGATTTTAATTGTATATTTATAATTAAAGTATATATAATATAATTAATTATATAAGAATATAATTAAAAATTATGATTGGTTTTAATATTAAGAAATATACTCTAACAAAATTATTTTTTATAGAAAAAAGGTGTGATTATTAGTTTATTATTTTTGAATAATTCAAATATTTTCATTTAATAAAATATAAAATAAGACATAAAAACGATTAAAAATTTTCTTTATATAATATATTATTTTTAATTATTAAAAAAGTGTTACACTATATGTTTTAATAAACATTATTATATATGTTAAGAAAACATAAAATTGTATATAATATAAAGTAATCATAAAAAAAACAATTATTCTATTTGTTTATATATATATATATATATATACTAACTCGCTCACTAATATGTGTAATTGTTAAAGTTTAAATAAAATTTTATAGTAGATTTATTACTAAGTGCACAATGCCAAACAGAACCTAGTGTATTAATCCAAACAAGCAATACATTAATATAAATACAATTTTTCAAATAAAATCAAATACACTAATGTGTCAATCTGAATCAGACAATCAATTGATTAACACAAACTCAACCTCTTATATCAGTTCAAGCTCACACACGTTAGCATCAATTTAAACCAGACAATCACTACTTAAAAACTTTTATGCCAAAAAAAGGTTTTTACTCTTAGCACTAACACTTTAACGAAAAGAAAAGAGTATATAAGAGAAACTGATAATTTTCTTTCTTATTCATAGAAGAAGTATATACAAGGGTATATAAACCTGAAATGAAAACTATCTAACTGCATGGCAGTTATTACAGTTAGGAAGAATATTGGATTAATTCAACACAACCCCTTAATCCAAAATTTTCATAGATTTTACTGCTAATAAGTCTCTCAATTTTTCAAATTTGTTTTGTCTCAAAGCTTTGGTAAAAATATCAGCTATTTGATCTTCTGTAGAATAGTGTATTAGTTCCAATCTTCCTTTGCTGACTTGGTCCCTTAAAAAATGAAATTTTGTCTCAATGTGTTTACTTTTTCCATGGAAAACCGGATTCTTGGATAAACTAATAGCAGATTTGTTATCTACTAGAAGTTGTACTGGTTTTCTACACTCTAGTTTCAAGTCATCAAAGAGTGTTTCCATCCACACACATTGACAAGCTGTTTCTGAAGATGTTATATATTCTGCTTCGCAAGACGAAAGTGCCACCACACTTTGCTTCTTAGAGCACCATGAAATTGGTGCTCCCATGTACTTGAAGAGATAGTCAAACGTACTCCTCCTATCAACTTTATCACCACACCAATCAGAGTCACACCAGACCTCCAAAACTCCCTCAACGTTGCTTGACATTTTAGGAAAGAAGAGACCAAAATCTGATGTTCCTTTCAAATATCTTAGAATGTGTTTGGTTGCTGATAAGTGTGATAGACTTGGTTCATTCATAAATCTACTCACTAATCCAACTCCATAGCTAATATCGGGTCTACTGTTACAAACGTACCTGAGTGATCCTACAACCTGTTTGTACAGAGTTGCATCCACTTTCTTCTCATCCGCTTGATCTGTTAACTTCAAGTTAGCTGTGACTGGAATTGGAACACTATTACAGTTCACCATGTTAAATCTCTTCAAGATTTCGTTAATGAATCTTTTTTGATGGAGTAATATTCCATTTGCAGTTTGTAAGAATTCCAACCCCAGAAAGTAACTGAGATCACCGAGATCAGTCATCTCAAATTCTACTTTCATTCTCCTTTTAAAGTCTTCGATCTCACATTCTGAGTTTCCAGTCATGATCAAGTCATCTACATACAAACAAACTATTAATATGCTTTTATGCATAACAGACTTTACATAGATTCCAAACTCTACTAAACATTTGTGAAATCTAAGTCTGATAAGCAATGAATCGATATGTTTATTCCATGCACGAGGCGCCTGTCTAAGCCCGTATAAAGCCTTATTTAATCTGTAAACTTTCTGCTCCTCTCCTTCCTTCACAAAACCTGGAGGTTGTCTCACATAAACTTCTTCTTCTAGTGGCCCATTCAAGAATGCTCATTTAACATCCATTTGGCATATTTTCCAGCTCTTTAAACTGGCTCCTGCCACCACCAATCTCACAGTTTCCAGTCTTGCAACAGGTGCAAACACATCTGTAAAATCAACTCCAGGTTTTTGTAAATAACCTTTCGCAACCAATCTGGCTTTAAACTTTGCCACTTCTCCATCCGGTTTATACTTGGTTTTAAACACCCACTTAACGTCAATGGGGTGTTTATGTTGTGGCAAATCAACCAACTTCCACGTTCTATTTTTTCAATAGCCTTTAACTCCTCAATCATTGCTTCTTTCCATTCTTTTATATCAAGAGTCTGCTTCCAAGTCAAAGTATCTGCATCAGCCAGAAATGCAAAATGAACAAGATCACCGGCGTTGGTTATATCACTGTCTGCATAAACTTCATGATCTGATAGTCTGGTGGAAGGAAATCTTGTTCTTTGTGATCTTCTATTCTGAACTCCATCATCTGTAGCAACCTGTTCAGCAATAGAACTTTTATCTTCTAACAAGCTAGGTATAGAATCTGGTTGTAAGTTTGCTTCAACCTTCTTCCAATTCAACGTTGCAGCCTCATCCACTATTATGTCTCTGCTAATAATGATCTGCTTCTTTTCTGGATTGAACAACCTATAAGCTCCTGTTGGATGATAGCCAACTAAGATGAGAATCTCACTCTTGTCGTCTAATTTCTTCCTCCTTTCGTCCGGTACATGTTTATAGCAAATAGACCCAAAGATTCTCAAATGATGAACAGAAGGTTTGTCTCCTGACCAAGCTTCTTTAGGAGTGTAATCTCATAATGCCTTTGTTGGGCTTCTGTTCAACAAATAAGCTGCAGTGGAAACCGCTTCTCCCCACAATAATGAGGCAACTTCTTTCCCTTGATCATGCATCTAGTCATGTCAAGTAACATCCTGTTCCTTCTCTCAGCTATCCCATTATGTTGGGGTGTATATGGAGCAATTACTTCATGTATAATTCCTTTGGAATCACAAAACTCATCAACTTCTTTTGAGTTGAACTCACCTCCACCATCAGTTCAGAATATTTTTATCTTTAAACCAGATTGCCTTTCTACTAAAGAACAGAACTTTACAAAATATGAAAATACTTCTTTCTTTTCTTTTAACAAGTAAATCCAAAGTTTTCGTGTCCATTCATCTACAAAAATTAGAAAATACTTGTTACCTCCAAGTGATAAAACGTCGAATGGGCCGCACACATCTGAGTAG